ATGTGTATAAGAGACAGGTCTGGGAGAGCAGCTTTGGGGGCTGGTGGGAGGCTTAAGGGGCTCGGCAGGGAGGCCAGGCTCGCTTCTGTGTGTGGTGACAGGTTTAATGGGCTCTGGATTTAAAAGAGACTTGGAGCAGAAAGGGGCAAAAAAAAAAATATCGGACGGTTCAGAAAGCACAGGTGGGGTTTGCTGTGATTGTGTTGCTACTACCAAAACGTGGGTTTCCTCACAAAAAACAACGCCAAACTTTTCTGTGGTTAGTTTTTCTGATGCTCTGCTCAGTCCCCCCAGATTCACAGATATTCCAGCTCTAATGGTGATTCATTTCAGAAGATACCCAGCTGGGGCAGGAAAGCAAAGGAGTAAGGAGAAGAGTGGTTTAAAAACCTAGAAAGCTTTTCCTTGTCAGACACTGCTGGTTTGTTTCTACAATTAGCTCATACCTGTAGGCGGGACGCTTGGAGGGCAGGTTCGAACTTGCTTGGGGGAGCCTCACGGGCAAAGTCCTCCCCGGGGCCCTGCCAGGAACTGGAGGCACTGGTGCCTGCGGTCATGCACTGAGGAAGCAGGTGGAATTTGATCCTGCGGTAACAAACCTGGTTTGCTGCCTCCTCCCAGGTACCAGGTCACCCAAGCATGGCCACCCAGATGTTCGAGGGGAGAGGGCACGCAGCTGTCTACCAGAAATACAGGTTTGCACCAGGTGAAGAGCTGCAGCAAACCATCCTCACCTACTTGAAGGAAAAGGTGAGTGGGGTATGGCCAGGCTGTAGTGAAAACCAAGGTAGTAGTATTTGTGAGCAGTAGTATTTACCCTGCTGGGGGTGTTACCTTGCTGGGTGCCACTTGCTCAGGGCAAGATGTGGGCACCAAAGAGCTTTTCCATGGGTTGTGCCATGTCAAGGCTGTTTGTCTGTGCACACTGCGGGGAAGGAATGGGGTAAAAGCACAGAAATTGGGTGGCCACTCACCCACTGAGACACATCTCCTCCTCCCTGCAGAGGGCGAACACTGCTGAGCTGGTGGTAGATGTTGGTTGCGGGACTGGACAAGGCACCCGCTTCCTTGCAGAGCACTTCAAGAAGGTGGTGGGAACAGACATCAGTGAAGCACAGATTCAGGAGGCTAGGGATGCCCCCTCCCTGCCCAACGTGTCCTACCTGTGAGTGTCGGGGCAGCAAACTCTTAGCTGAAGGTGAAACTCGGGTCCTCACACAGAGGTGGTGTTTTGTGAGTATGATTGTTGTAAGAGCCAGCGGGCACCAAAGTCAATCCCATTTGATGGGATTCTTGGTGTGGACAGGCATTATCCTAGACTTGCCGTGGTCTTGCATCCCAAACAGTCATTACTGACTCCAAAAAATTGCCCATTTGCTTCACATCCTACTTCCTAATTTCCATATTACACACTACCTTTTTTCCTTCTCCCGCTCCAGTGTGTGCCCTGCGGAGGAGCTGCCATTTGAAGATGCCTCGGTGGATGTCCTGACGTCATTTACGGCTGCGCACTGGTTTGATATCGAGAAGTTCATGAGAGAAGCAAACCGGGTGATGAAACCAGGTGGTTGCGTGGCCATCAGTACCTACACCGTGGACATGAGTCTGCGCTATGGAAACTGCTCTGAAAAACTGACCAAAGTCTTCAGGGAGGTGAGGTGATGACACTTAAACCTCAGGGCTTCCTCTCCTGGTCTGGGCAGGAGGAAATGTGTAGTACTTTGATGCAGAGGGAAGCAATGGGCTTGAGGGTATGACTAGAGGACTTCTATTGCAGGATGGGGCATAGGGATGGTTAAAAATACAGGGACGAAGTTGAGATGGGGGTTTAGTGGTTCCCTTGCAGGACTGAGGCTGGTTGGATGAGGAGAAGAGGGACATTAGGATTAATAGGACAGACTCTGGTGTGGTGAGATGGGCTGCGGAGCAGATTTGGGAGGCTGATATCATCAAAGAGACTTCTCCTGTTGCTCTGATCACAGTGAAATGAATGGGAAGTAGAAACTGTTTGGAAAGTGTGGTGGGGTTTTTTTAGTGATGTTTCTTGACAAAGTTTTTTAACAACTTGATAAAAGGATATTTTTTCACTGTAAAAGCAGTGTAGGGAGGAGGCTAGGACACTTATCTTTGCAATAAAATAGGATCCTTAAATTCTTGACACTAAATAAGATTTTGTGTATTTTAATCCAAGGAATATTTTTTTAAAAAAGTACATGTATGAATGAATCAGATCTAGGGCCAAGCAAACCTGAGTTAAGTGGGAACTGGAGCTTCAAATAACTTTGTATTTGTTTTTTAATATACTCTCTTTACAGACCTGGGACCTGATTTTAAAATACTCTCACAATAGACTAAAAATCGTCTTGGAAGACTACAAAGAGGTCTTTGAGGCCTTGCCGTTTCCAGACAAGAAGAGGTGAGCAGAAACCCTTGGCACAGCACTGGGAGTGGATAGAGGTGGCGTCTCCACTCTTCCATGGGGCTGCTGTGCCACTGGCCCAGCAAGGACACAAGGGTTTGTGGCAGGTAGCTGCCAGGTTTCAGCAAATGCCTTTGCATCATGGCAGAGCTGTGTGGGTGCATTTCCACTCCTGTTGGATTTAATGTAGCTCTATGCTGGGCAAGCAAGTGTGGTCTAAGGGCTGCAAGGACCCTTCCTGCTCCAGCGAGGATTGGGTTAGATTTTTTTTTTTTTTTAGCTGGTAGCTTATGATAATCTGAGGCTTAATGAATGAAGGGGGAAAATGGAGTGAGAGAACCTGCCCCTGGCCTCCAGGGAGCCAGTGCCTGCCTCCCTACCAAGGCATGGGGCAGGGACTGACTGCAGGCAAAAAGGAGATGTTGGTGGTGCTGTTGCAGAGGTAGTAGTGTCCCGGCTGCTGGAGAGGAGAAGGCTCTGCAGGTAGGCCCGTATCAAAAGGGCTGTTCAAGTCACAGCCTCTGTTAGATAGTCCTTGGGACCATCTCTGCTTCTCCAGTAGTGCATCACTTAGAGCTCCTGACCCATCAAATGCCACAATCTGATGTTGTTTCCATCTGTTGGACCTTTGATGGTGTCAGGTATTTTATTCACCACCACCTCAATCTGTTGTGCTTGCTCTTCTGCCTTTGAAATTTAACATGCCAATGCTCCTTTATTCCCTGTCTCCCTCCTAGAATCACTGATATCTTTGACAAAATTCCCATGACGATTGCTGGTGTGGTTGGTTACATGGAGTCTGCCTCTCCATATCAAGCCTTTATGAAGAATGACCCCAAAGCTGCAACATCCCTCCTTCAGGAGACTGAAAAGAAGTAAGAAAAACTCTTGTGAAAGCAAGCAGGAAGTAGAGGACCTGTCTTATGCAGTACATGAAGAGTGAGATTGTGGAGACCCCTTCAAATCTGGAAGTGAGCTGTGAAGTGATGCACTCCCTCCTTCCCTGCCCACCCCACACCTCCCCGCCCCCCCCCGGTGTGGATGGAGACTTGTCAGAGGTTAGAGAGCAGATTCTCTGCTGCTCACAGCATGACTGACCTGTTTGAGTCGGTTGACTTAAACTTTTGAGTCCATGTAGCTGTATGTTCTTGCACTGGTGTATCCATGTAAGTCTTATGTCAGAAGTATTTTAAGTTTCTTCACCTTGCTCTCGATTAGCAGAGAGCAGGAAAAATATTGATGGTTGCATCTTAATCTATTTTGGCCCACAACAAGGGAAGGCATCCCTGTGCCTGTGAACTTATTCACTGACCAGAACAACCCTTGTGTATGTGCTGGAACTATCTGCCATCACGACCTTTGTGCTTTCGGTGGAAGAGACATATCTCCGAGGTTGTAGATACTGCCTCATATTGGGTGGGAGGTGGCTGGGTGGAGTGAGACCCTTCCTCTGCTTCTTGTTTCAGGATGATGGAGACAATGGGAGTTTCTTCTCCTGAAACCCCAGTGGAGTTCTGGGTGAGGCATGTCTGCGTGCTGGGGTGCAAAGGACAGTGAGAAGAAACCCTTCTGACCTGGTGCTAGAAGGGAAGGAAGCAGTGGGCTGTCTCCTAATACCCCACTTGTAACCATTCTTATTCTTCGGGTAGTTCGATGCTTATTTTGCTGATTAAAATTTTGATCTTCTGTGGGAAGCAGACAGTTTATGCCTGCTCTGGGGTTCCTGTCCACCTTGGTCCTCCAGTTGGCCCAGTGCTGTGCCCTCAGCACTGCAAAGGTCCAGTTTCATACTGGTGGTGGTTGGATTGCACAGGGGGATGAGAATCACAGTAATAGCTGAGAAACTTGCTGCATTTCTTACACTATAATAATAAAAAAAAGGCTGAGGAAAAAGTTGCTTTTGGTTCTTCTCTTTACAAAAGGCTGTAGAGCACCTGCTGGGGTGGCAATAACTGCACTTCATGGGCACTGCTTACCTAGGCCCTGAGTGGCCTTCTGTTTTGCAGGGGAGTAAGGCTTTAGACACCATTTCCCATAGTAGTCTCCTGGCAAAACTGGCTGCTCAAGGCTTGGATGGGTACACGCTTCGCTGGGTAAAAAACTAGCTGGATGGCCAGGCCCAAAGAGTTGTGGTGAATGCAGTTAAATCCAGCTGGCGGCTGGTCATGAGTGGTGTCCCCCAGGGCTTGGTGTTGAGGCCACTCCTGTTTAACATCTTTATTGATGATCTGGATGAGGGGATCGAGTGCACCCTCAGTCAGTTTGCAGATGACACCAAGTTGGGTGGGAGTGTTGATCTGCTCGAGGGTAGGGAGGCTCTGCAGAGAGACCTGGACAGGCTGGAGCCGTGGGCTGAGGCCAACTGGAGGAGTTTCACTAAGGCCAAATGCTGGGGGCTGCCCTTGGGCCACAACAACCCCCAGCAGTGCTACAGGCTTGGGGAGGAGTGGCTGGAGAGCTGCCAGTCAGAGAGGGACCTGGGGGGTGACTGACAGCTGGCTGAACAGGAGCCAGCAGTGTGCTCAGGTGGCCAAGAAGGCCAATGGCATCCTGGCTTGTGTCAGCAAAAGCGTGGCCAGCAGGGATAGGGAAGGGATCTCACCCCTGTACTTGGCACTGGTGAGGCCGCACCTCGATGGCTTGGTTCAGTTTTGGGCCCCTCACTCCAAAAAGGCCATGGAATGACTCGAGCATGTCCAGAGAAGGGCAACAGAGCTGGTGCAGGGTCTGGAGCACAGGTTGTACGGGGAGCGGCTGAGGGAACTGGGGGGGTTTAGTCTGGAGAAGAGGAGGCTGAGGGGAGAGCTCATCGCCCTCTACAGCTCCCTGAAAGGAGGGTGCAGAGAGCTGGGGATGAGCCTCTTTAACTGAGTAGTAAGCACTAGGACAAGAGGGAATGGCCTCAAGCTGTGCCAGGGCAGGGTCAGACTGGCTCTTAGGAAGCATTTCTTTCCAGAAGGGGTTGTTGGGGGTTGGAATGGGCTGCCCAGGGCAGGGGGGGGAGTCCCCATCCCTGGAGGGGTTGAAGAGTCAGGTTGACCCAGCACTGAGGGATCTGGTGGAGTTGGGAACGGTCAGTGGGAGGTTCATGGTTGGACTGGAGGAGCTTCAAGATCTTTTCCAACTGAGATGATTCTGATTCTGTAGGTGGATTTAAGGTAGAAAGGGGCTGTTTGCCCCCTTTCCCGTGCAGGTTAAGCTAGGAGCCATGTGCTGTCTTTGAAGGCTGACTGGAAAGGGGCTGTTCTTGCTCGCTCTGTGACCCCATCCCTGGTGCCTTGCCAGTGGGTGCAGCAAATACTAGCAGCTTATCTGCCCCAGGCTTGCCCGGTGCTGTGCAGCACTCCTGCTGTGGCCCTCGTGAGGCTACTCACCCTCAGCACAACTTGGAGCCATTCTGGGGTGGCTGCCACAGGGGAGCAGGTTTATGCTCCCCTCTGTCCCAGCCTGCTATTGCTCACCCATACTTCAAAGGGAAGATTAGAGGCTGAGTTTTGGGGAGGGGCAGATGGAGACAATGAGGTCCAAAGCTGGGCACAGCCCAGCACAGGTCCCCTCCTGTTTGCTTTCCAGATATGTCAAGTCACAGCCTCTGTGGGGGACCTTTCCCTTTCCTGTAACTCCTGCTCTTGACAAGAATGCTACCCTGATGCCATGGGTAGGGTTGTGGCCTCCCTGTGTTATATCTCAGAGCATTATGAAGAAAGGTAGAAGTGATACTTCTGCTCCCTACCCCAGAGAGAGCACCTGGAGGGAGGTTTATAGGGGCTGGAGGTGCTTCAGCTGTGGTCCTGTGGCTCTCAGGTGCAGACACTGAACCTCCTTAACCCTGAGCACAACTCCATGGGGATCACTGAGTGTTGGCTCAGCTTGCCTGTGTGGGAAGTGAAGGCTTTGACCCCACTTGGTGGCTCCCAGGAAGGGGGGGGGGTGTCCCAGGAGGAGAGCTATGGGGAGGAAAGCTTGTTGTGTCCACAGTCATGTGCAGGAGAAGACCTCATGGAGCGGCGATGCTGGGCCACCATTACTGGTGAAGAGGCTGCGCTGGGCACAGGTTGAATTTGGGTGAGCAGCACCCATAAAAGCTCCCTTGCTGGGTGAGGATGGTGCTTGTCATCTAGGAGCACTAGAGGCCTCTCGCTGCCTGGGAACCCACCAGACACCGCAGCAACCCGGGGGATGGTGGCCTGTCCGGCTGCCTTGGCTTGGCCTGGTGAGGTGCATCCTGCAGCTTGCCTGGGCAGGGAGATGTCTCCCGGGGAAAAAGGGCCTGTGTGGGTTTTTGATGCACTTTAAAATTCAAACTTCAAGTTTAAATCCGCTCGCTAATTAACTTTTCAATTAACAACCCTTCCCTCCCCAGCACTGGCTGCACGCTCAGCACATACCCTGCAATGATGCAGTGGGTGACTGGCCATGATGTAACCCCAAGGACTGCATCATCAACACGTTTGGAATGGTGTCAGTGGCACAAGGCACGCAGTGCAGCACAGACCAGCCTGGCATTGCCATGGTGGATGCTGCAGCTCGTGAGTGCCGGGAGGTGGTGAAGGGTTCTGGGGCACGAAGCAGGGCAGCAGCGCTTCGGTGGCACCGACACCCTGGGCCAGTGGGGACGGGTCGTGATGTTTGTTGAGTGGAGGCCACCCGATGTCCCCTGCCCCAGCACCACTGTGCCATGGGCAGTGCTCTTGCACATCATCCAGGGTTTTTATTTTTAAAGGTAGCTTTTTTGGGGCACTTTTTGGTTCTTTCTATCTTCTTTCTACGATCAGACACTAGCAGGAGCCAGTTCCTCTTGAACGAGCCTGATGGCTCCAAAAGTTGGGAAGGAGCAATCCGGGCTTGTCCTTACCTACTCCAGTGGCATGGCTCACAGCCAAGGCTTTTCCATGCTAATGAGTCACAGGGCAATTGCCTCACCTGGCGCTAGTGCCTGCAGCCCTACCCCTTTTCACTTTCCTTCTTGCACCTGGAATCTCCCACGCACCGAGGATTTCTTGCTCCAAGCAAGTTCGAGTGGCTCCAGCCTGCTGGGTTGTGTGAATCCGAGGAGGGGTCTCCATCTTTGCCATCTGTGCCGCTCTCCTGGTATGGCATATCTGCAGTCAGGGCTGGGACCCACCGAGGCTGGAGCGATGACTGTGGCAGGTCCCCAGTGCCCTGCAGACCCCCAGGTGCCCCCAGCCCGTGCTGGCTTCAGGGTACTCTCTGCTGTTGTGGCAGGAGCCAGCACTGTTGCGGTTTGGGGGAGCCAGGCCTTGCTGGCCATGCTGGGGACTGGGCTGTGGTGGAGTGTGGCATCACTGTGCAAGATACTGGCCGGCGTGCCAATGTCCAGGATGGCAAGACCTTGTCCTGTCAGGGAAGAGCCCTCGTTTCTGCTCACCCAGGCACCTGTGGGCTTGGCTATGGCTGGCAGCGAGTGAGGTACAAACGTCTGAGCAAGGCACCCAGGAGATGTTCAGCCCTAAGTGCTGGGGGGCTGCGCTCATGGCCCTGGCTTCCCCGCTCAGCTTTCGCTTTTCCTTTGGTGCCTCCGGATCTGCTTTCGCCTGCATGAAGAGATCAGGTTTCGCTTTGCTTCTCTAAGCAGAAATGACATCTGGGAGATACAAGCCACAGCCGTTCCGTGGGACATGGTGCTGCTCTGGGAGCTGGTGGGTCCAGCACTGTCCTCAGCAGGAGCCTGGGGCAAGGGGCAGCGATTCATGGTGGATCCACATACGTGCCAGTGCAATTTTCCAGCCCTGCTGTATGTCCATGGGGCTGCAGATGAGGCCACCCCAGCACAGCAGGCACTGGACATCACTGTCTCAGTGCTGGATGTCACTGTCTGGGTGCTGGGGACCTGTCTGGGCACCAACCCAAGTGCCAGAACACCCCAGCCTGGCTCGTACCTTGGTCTGGAGGAGGAAACACCCTGCAGTGCTTGTCCCATGAGCCAGCTGGGCTCCACCACATGGGACCTAGAGCCACCATTGCCCTCCGGCTCTTCCACAGTGACCCAAAGAGTTCTAGGCAGGGCTGGGACCCCCACTCCCTCCCTTCCCTCACCAGGGGCCACATTTGTTTTTAAACCCCTCAGGCTTTTTTGCTAAGGTGCCATCTATTTCAGCTGAGCTGTGCCTCACCTGAAGGTCCCATGTGTCGTTAGTTATGATAGTTTGGGCTTTTATATTGTAGTTGTATTGAAGGTGAACAAGTTGCATTGAATAAAAAATTACTTTTCCAAATCTGTGCATTAATCTTTAATGGGAGAGAAAGGAATGACAACACTGTTGTCCTGTTTGCTGAGTGGACACCAGACCCAAGCCCTGGCCAGGGCTCAGGCTTTTAGTTCCTGAGCCTGCTGCTGCAGCAGGGGAGGCTGGTACAGTAGCAATGTCTGTGACTTGCCCTGAAGGTAAACCCTGTGCCCCTTTGCTATTGGGCTTTAGTGCTGTGTTTTGCTGTCCCGGCTCTTCTCCAAGCTGTATCTCCACCTAGCTTGGTCAAAGCCAAGACAGCCACTGCCCAAGCCATACTGCTCCCTGCCTGCTGTCTCTGCTCCTATTCACCTCCACTGTGGTTTTCCAAGAAAGATCTGAGCTCACCGAGATGCTGCTGGAGCAGGAGAAAGTCTCAGGGAGGGATGGATGGATCCTGCTGGTCAAGAACCAGTCTTGCTTAATCTCTTCATTAATGATCTGGACAATGAGGCAGAGTGTACCTTCAGTGTAGCAAGTTCACCCATGACACCAAATTGGGAGGAGTGGGTGATGCACAAAAGGGTTGTGCTGCCGTCCAGAGAGACCTCCACAAGCTGTAGAAATGGGCTGAAAAGAACATTATACTCTTCAACAAGGAAAAATGCAAAGTTTTGCACCTGAGGAGGAACAGCTCCAGGCACCAGGATGTGCTGGAGACCACCCAGCTGGAAAGCAGCTCTGCAGAAAAGGGCCTGGGTGTCCTGGTGGGCATCGAGTTGAACACAAGCCAGAAATATGCCCTTGCAGCAAAGAAGGTGAATGGTATCCGGGGCTGCATTAGGAGTATTTCCAGCAAGTCAAGGGAGGTGATCCTTCCCCTCAGCACTGGTGCGGCCACCCCTGGAGTGCTGGGTCCAGTTCTGGGCTCCCCAGTGCAAGAGAGACGTGGGCCTACTGCAAAGAGTCCAGTGAAAGACGAGGAGGCTGAGGAAGGGACATATGAGGGAAGGCTGAGAGAGCTGCAACTGTTCAGCGTGGAGAAGAGAAGGGCTCGGAGGCTCTTAGTGGTGCTTACTGATGGGACAACAGGCAATGGGCACAACGCAGAATACATGGAAGTCCGTCTGAACAGGAGAAAACACTTTTTTTTCTATGAGGGTGGTCAAACACTGACACAGATTGTCCAGAGAAGCTGTGGAGTCTCCATCCCTGGAGATACTCAAAACCAGACAATGTCCTGGGCAGCCTGCTCCAGCTGACCCCTAGAGCAGGGGTTGGGGTGGCCAATGTCCACAGGTCCTATCCCATCTCCACGACTCGGCACAGCATGTCCATGCCGGTCTGCCTGTCCATAGGTGTATCTTTCCACAAACCTGTGTAAGAACTTTTCCCATGTGTGTGGACTCCTTGAAGTCAGCAGTTTATTTCCAAATAAGAACATAAAAAAAAAACCCGCTTCTGGAGCAGCGTTCCTCTACTGTATGAGGCACCGCACAGTGCATTCATGCCTGTTGCTGCATTATTGCTTATTTACTTCTTAGATACAGATATTGCCCTAATTGTCTATGTTTAATGCTTGATGAATGCGTGAAACCAAAAGCACAGTGGGGATGGCTCCACGTCGCAGGAGGTTACCTTGAGAGGTTATCTCGGGGGAAGGGCAGATTTTGCTGAATGGTGGCACCGTTCCAGCTGTCAGCAGAGAGATGTCAATACCTGATATTTGTGTTTTCAGACTAAACAGGGAGGAAACCCCAGCCAGCTCCAGTGGCTGGTGGGGGCAGCATCCCTATTCACCTCTGGCAGCCTCCCTGAACAACCCTACATCCTACCTGGAAAATACCAGGTGGAAGTGCTCCTGCTCTCACTCTTTCTCATGCTTTTGTGGTGAGACTGGCCCCTCGGGATAATACACACATAAAGCTCATGCCTGCAGCCTGTGTTGTGCAGGGCCCGCTCCCAGCTGCTGCTTTCACCCTCTCCCTGCCACAGCCGTTGTGCTGTGCTTTCTGTGGGGAAACTGAGGCACAAACTGCTGCTGCCACTCGGGAAGCACCAAAACCCTCCCAGCCATCCCAAACCCACCATCCCTGTGGGCCTGCATTCCTGGGGGTCTACCGCAGCTTTCGGCGCAGTGCCGGGCTGGCTCATGCCCAGGCTTCCTTGTATTTGTCAGCACCTCTGCACCGCTTGCAACGGCAGCAGCGTCCCCCCGTCCAGCTCCCTTGGAGGGGTGTGTGTCAAAGGCAGCCCGAGCATCCCACTGCATCCCTGGGGCACCGGGCACTCTCGCCCTGTCAAGGCAGGCAGCGGGGCAGGCAGCGGGAGGCAGGCACTGCCCACACCTGCCGAACCTGCGGCTGCGGGATTCCCTACGTTGCCGCTTTCACTTTCCTGTTTTCAGAGCCGCCAGGCCGTGGGTTTTCCTGCCAATCTGAAAGCGCAATTGCGCCAGGCAGGCAGCATAAAAAGCCGGGGAGATGGGGCACAAGGCAGTCAAGGAGGCGAAGCAGTTTCTCGGGACTGGCCACCAGCCCAACAGCTGAGCGAGCCACTTCCAGCAACACCGTCAGGCATCTCGACATCAGAGATTTAGCGGATCCGACCCAGAGCACTCTGGTTCATCCTCTCCGACTTCTTGCACCACAGCCCCTCCATTCCATCATAACCTGCTCACCACTGGGCTCTTGTCGCCAAAATGCTGCACCTTGTCTTGACCCTGCTGCTTGCGCTGGTGCTGCAGACCAGCCTCGGAGCTGTCATCCCCCACACCACCCCGGAGAAGAGCTGCTACCTGTCCAAGTACCAGTTACTTGTGTCCCACGAGACGGAAGCTGTGCTTAGGATGAGGGACAAGTTTGTGAGTATCGCTGGCAATGGGGGGCTGTGGGCTGGCCAGGGGCACAGCAGAGGGCACACATTCGAGACCCTGAGTGACAAGGTGGATGTTTTCTGCAGTGGTCTGGGGATGAGGAGGATATTTTCCAGGGGAGTTTGGGACAAGAAGGGTGCTTGGCCAAATTTCGTCCTGGTTTAAAACCCCTCCAGGCTGACCAGGGTTGCACAACATTGCCAAAAGTCAAGATGACAGTTTTTTAATCTCTCTCTTGGTTTATGTCTGCAGATGGACACCAAGCCACTGGCAGACCGCAACTGCACCGGCAACATCTTCCATCGGGAATGGAACATGATGGACCTCTCGGTAAGAGTGAGGCAATCCTGTAAAAAGGGGGTACAGTTCCCTCTCCAGCTGGGACCTCCTGTCAGCCAGTCCCCTCTCCATCCACAAACCCGGACAGGGCTTTTAGACCCCCATCCTCCAGCCTGCAGTCAGCCCTGGTGCTTTGGGTCCCTAACCGGGATGCTCCTGCCTGCAGGTACCTGACCGAGTGATGGTGGTGAAAGCCGAGCTGAGCCTCACCACAACCGTGCTGGAGTTCCATGACACCTCTGACTTCGCCGAGATGCGCAAGCAGCCTCTTGCCTTCCTCACCCAAGTCCAGAATGACCTGCAGTGCTGGGTGAGTGCCCCCCCCAAAACCCCCCAGCCCAGTGCTGGCTCTGTGGCCCCTGCACTGGCAGCAGCACCGCAGGGCATCACCATCCTCACGCGGCCACTTTCCTCACAGATGGACACCAAGGCTCCTTTGCATGAGCCCTCTGAAGAAGTGAGCCACTGGCTGAACCAGCTGCAGAACACCAGGGAAATGGTAAGTCAGGCCAGCAGGGTGAGGGGGTTTCGGGGTGCTAGCCCGCTGCACCCTGTCTCCAGCACTAACCTGCCCCTCCTCCCCACCACAGAAGACAAACAGCTGCCTGGAAGCCTCTGCCATCCGCCACATCTTTGAAGTGCTCAACGACCTGCGGTGCGTGGCCTTCCAGGAGCAGTATAATTAGACCCCACTGCAGCATGGCCAAAGGCCAAACTCACCAGCCCCAAAGGATACCCCGAGGTCCAGGAAAATGAATTTTCTTGCATTGCTGGACTGTATTTCCTATTTAAGAATTTTTCTTATTTATGTGATCTCAGGGAGCAATTTATTTTTCACAGTGTCTTAAGTTATTGTATATTTATTAGATATCTTTGTTTTGCTGGTCTTCAAAATACGGACTGTTTTTAAGGAAATCTATTTTTGTATCTGCAATTTATTACAAAGTATATGATGTATATTTATTTGTCTGTATAAATTTATTTTTACATGCTATTTAATATGAAAAATAAAATAGATACCATAAACAGACAAGCTGCCATCATGTTTTTACTATGCTTTACTATAATATCGCCACTTTGGAAAAATGAGTTACAGGGGGCATGAGGGAGGACATCAAGGCAATTTTGAGCATTCAAAAATTAGCAGAACTTTGGCGTTCATGTTAATCTCCAGCTGTCTGGGGGTTCATCCTGACCATCCTCCCAGGGTTTGCCTTTGGGGACAGATGGATGCTGTTGTGGCCAGGGCTGTCCCTGCCCGCCTGGGGACAGGAGCCTGCTGACCACCCTTTTCCAGGGGGATACCTGTGTTGGGTGGTGCAATCCAGGGCACGGAGCCTGGAGAAGCCCAGAGCCCAACATGGTGCTCACATCCCTGTATGGGCTGGGAAAGCCTCTGGATTTGGCCATCCTGGGAGCTCTCAGAAGACTCCTGAAAGATTTAATCACCAAACTGGAGCTCAGGATGAGTGAGGAGCTGGTGTAGACAGGCATCCAGTGGGGAGAGGAGGAAAAGGACCCATGAGCAAACCCAAACCTCATTCAATCTCTACTTTCTCAGGCTGAGGAGATGGTTCTTTGGAGACAAGTCACCAGGGGAGGGACAGCCAGCAGTGGTGGCCACATGTATGTGTGATGGCCACAACTGGGGTGAGCGATCACCCAAACCTGGGGACCAGCCAAGGCCTGGGAACCCAAAAGGTGCAGGTTTTGGTGGAAGAAGGAGAGGAGCACAGGGCAGATGATGGGTGCTTGAGGCTGGGGTAATTTTATGGTTGCTGCTTTTAGGCTGAAGGATTGGGGACTGATGAGCAACACCCAAGGCAATGGAAAGCCTAAATCAGGAAGGAAATGCCGTGGGGTCAAGGAGAATGGGCAGGCGAAGCCCCGGCAGTGTGTCTGGGATTGCACATTGAGTCCTGGTTTCAGTTAAAACGAGGCACAGCTCATCTCCCAAAAAAAAGGAGCTGCAGCAATACTTTGCCTGTCTGGCCATCAGTGCCTGCTTTGGAGAGGTCTGCCTCAGCGTACCCTCTTCCTGCCCCACTTCACTCCTCAGTTTTAAAGTCTTGAGAGAAATTCCTCTCTATGGGGCCTACGTATAGCCAATGTCTGTGGGGGGAGGTTGTAGCCAAAAGTGCTATGCTGGAATATCTGGAAAGACTAATGAGGGAGAAGGTGCTTAATCAGTCCCCAAACCAGATATATTTAGATTATCCTGCTCTTGTTATCTACCAAGTCACTGTGAAATGTAGCTACTGTGATATGGCATGTGACACCGCTGCACCAGGAAGGAAGGCAAAGGCTTGCTCATGCGTCCGTCTTCAGGGCAGGAAATGAGCTCCAATCCCTAAGCAGCGGCAGTGTCGAAGCACAGCTCTCCCAAGGCAAGGGCAGAAATCCCTCCAGGGGAACAGTGGTCCCTATTTATCTCTCTGCTGAGTTCACGAGGCATCATTTCCATTGTGGTGCTCCTCACTCCACGAGTCCTGCAAGGGCAGGAAATAAAAGATGTGCAATACCTTCCCAGCTCCCCCCACAGAGCTGCCTTTGTCAGGTTAACTGCCCAGTATTTCCCATGCAAAGCAAGTTTGCTGCAAATCAAAGCTGGGGTGAATATTTTTATTCCCTTGCCAGGCTGGGCTCCTCAGGGTGCTTGGAGTGGGGCTGATGGGGATGGGGATGGAGCTGCAAGTGTTGCAGCTGGCTAGTGTTAGCTTAATGCCGCTGCCAGGGGCATTAAGCTCAGGACAAGCCCCTCTGCTTCTCCTGAAGGGTGCTCACATGTGGTGAAGAAGCGCTTTAGCGTTCCTCGTGGGCTCAGCAAGGGGTGCTGGGAGGGTCATGCTGGGGTGTCAGAGCCTTTCCAAGTATCGCTGAGCGCTTGGCTGGTTAACACGCAGGGATGTGTAAGAGTATGGTCAGAAGACCAGCTCTGTGTCAACATTATCATCAGGGACATGGACAGTGAGGTACCTGACAACGGCCTGCTTGGAACACAGTTGCGATCCCAAGAGTGGAATGTGGTGCAAAGGCTCCTGAATACAGAACTGTGTGGCACAGCTGTTCTCCTGAGTACTGACCCGTGTGCTGCAGGGAGTGCAGTGCTGTTCCTCGGTGCCTGAGCCGTGCAGTACAAAGAGTGCTGTGCTGCTCGTTCAGTACCTGGGCCTAGCCGGAGCTGTTAGAAATGACCACATTGTTACTGTCAAAAAAGATCTATTGCAAGTGTTGCCATAACATCGGTGAAGAAATCATGAACTTTAGATGAACTTTGCTTCATTATAATACCAAAACACACCTTGTTGAAGGCTGCCCGCCTCCAAGACTGACCATGCCTCAGACACTCCCCCTGCACATGCGTGATAGCCTTGCTCGAGAAGGGCGGAGATATGACCATTGAATTCTGAGAAGGGTGGAGACCCCTGAGGCAGAGGAGGAGCAAGGTGTGTTACTAAGCATAAAAGATGACTTCTTGACAATGAAAATTGGAAGCTTCCCCACCAAGGATCACGACGATTAACAACGCAGCACCAGCTGGACCCAGGACTGCTAGGACGTCATGAGATCAGTGATGGTAGCTATAACCTCTCTTCCTCCTCTCTCTAAACTTTACTTTTCTCCTTTCTTTCACCCATCTGTAACTACTGTGTGCTACTACACAGGCAACACAATAAAGTTTCACTGTTTGATTGATACAATCCCCTTTGGTGTTGGTCACCTTAATTTTGCACTTGAGATCATAGTAAATGAACCATCACGAGTCCACCGAGTGGACCAAGACAGGACATAACAGCAGTTTCCCAGGTTCTGCAGGGAAAAGGAGCGAGGCATGCTCTTCCTTGTGTTAGTTTCCATTTGGGCACAGAAACAGCAGAAGGAAAGCTGGAAAGCCTTGGTTTTACAGTGTCTCTGTATGGCCCCGGCCTTTGGAGGCACCTACTCTAGTTCCCACATGGACTCCGATCTCCAGTCTCAGAGGGCAAAATTTAGTGGAAAGAAACCCAAAGGGGTGGGTAAGCAGAGGCACGTTTAACCTGCAGTGGAGGGGAGCTTTCTGTGCAAAGTTCTATTGGAAAATGATCAGGAAAGCATCAAAGTAGACCAAGCAGTTGGAAAAGGAGGATGAGGGCAAGGATGTGACTCTTGGAAAGGTCCCCCCAAGACAGCAGCTAGTTGGTGATTTGTAGCATCATGGGGAAAATGCTGGTGTCATGGAAGGGACTGAACCGTTGGAGGGAGAAATGCAAAGGCAGTTGTGAGAGGCCAGCTCTGGGGTTGAAAAGCACAAAACACCTCGTGGCAGGGGTGATTGTGGCTCCCCTTGGCGACTGATGGGCCAAGTGTCTTGGCCCATGTGTCAAGATGTGTCAAGATCTTGTTTCATTAAATCTCAGCCCTCCTTGCCTGGGCCAGCTCCTGGCCCACTTCTCCCTGGGTGGCTGGGGGAGCTTTGTGCCAGGCAGCCCTGGCTTGAAGCAGCAGCAGCTTCACACTCACTAGGGTGTCTGCTCATACATGCAAATTTAAAATACCCAAACTTGGTTTTGAATAGGGAAGAGTTTCTGTTTTGAAAGGAAAATGCTGTGAGGTTTAAAATCCTTGAATCCCGCAGGACGTAAATGAAATAGGATAAGGTCCTTTGGGATATGACAGATGTCTGTCTAAGGTAAGGCAGCAACAAACTACCTGACTGCTGCTCTTTTCTCCAAGAACTGTTTATGCAATGGAGTTTTATTTTGGTAGGGTTGGTTTTATTTCATGTGTATACACAGTTCTGTGCTTCTATTGAATAAGCAGGGGAAATGCCTACCAAATTACAGAAAAGGCAGTGGAGTTCGGGAGTTTTTCAGTTCAGCTTTCTTTACACTGGTCCCAAGAGGCAAAAATTCTGTGGCTTCGTGGGGAGTGTTGCCTAACATGTTGCAGGTGACATTTCTGCAGGCAAATCAAGAAAGCCGACAGCTGAGTTTTATTGATGGATCATGTTATACGCTCCTGGGTCATAAACTACTTCTGCTCAAAACCCTCCAACCAGAATCCAGGCTGATAATATGTAAGGAATAAATGTGCTCTCACCTGTAGCAGGAGCATTTTTCGGGCATGATTGGCACTCTGAAGAATAGGAAAATAAGCTGCTGGTGGTGTTACGGGAACTGTTTCCTAATACACGAGATACTGGTGCTCTTGATGTTGTAGTTTCTCCTTCTGTTCAGTGCTGCTCATAATTCAAAATAAAATTTCCTGTCTATCAGCAATCATACTGGAAATCATTTTGATATGTTTCCGTTTCACCTTCTGGGAAGACAGTGTTCAGTGAGATCTTTTTTGCTTTAACAAAAAAGGTTATTTGAAAAATAACCCTCACTTCGAACTGCAAATTACTTCAGCTGCATATGTACAAGTGGCTGATGGGTTACTCATTTTCATGCAAAAACCAGCACTTTGGACTAGAGGAACAGGCCAAAAGCTAGCTGCTGAAGGTTCCCAGGACTCCAGACTGGTGCCTGAATTAGTAATGATGTGCTTCCTCTGCAGATCTGTCTCATTTTGGCTATTATGTCTGTAGCCACAATTGAACCATTTCCTCTGTCTCTGGAGAACTTCCCCCAGCAACTCACGTTCCCCGACTCTCCCCCTGCACTCCTGCTCCCACAGAAATGCTTGCAGATGGGGCTGGGACAGC